CTCAGGGATCACATGAGGACTCGAGAACAGGGGTTGGAAGAGGAGGAGCAGAGGGTCTTGGAGGGGCTGTGGCAGGCTTGGAGAGTCATATTTGGAGCCGACTGGCAGCGAGCTTGGAGTGGTCCCCTTTGAGCCGTGGAATCCACCTCTCCCCAGGTACACTCAAGGAGCTTGCTGGGAGATCTGCAAGGGTGCCCAGATCTCAGAGGTTGGGTGGCTCCCTCTCTGCACCTAGGATTCCCCAGGGGGCCCTGGCCCTGGCCAGGCCCACCAGACCCAGCAGGCGATGGGTGGGGAGTAGCGGGGGGTCCAGCTCGGCTCTCACAGAGAGCCCAGCAATTTGTTCTCTTGTCCTTCCTGCTTCTGATTGCAGCCTTGAGTAGCCCGAAGTCAGTTGTGGATGAGAACATCATTCTGCCATGCCTCGTGCCACCTGCCTGGAGCCTGGGCTGTTGATCATCCCCTGGTAATCCAGGCTGCTCTGTAAGATGTAGACAGGTGATAGCTGTGGCTGGCTGGGCCATGCCTGACCCAGCCTGGGGCGCGCTGGTCACTGCGGCACAAAAATGAGTCATACCCTGCCAGCCTCTCCCTGCTCCCTGTACCCCTTCGTGAGTTCAATGCAAAGTGTCACCCCTGGGATGCTATCATTGTGGCCTTTTTTTTTTTTTTTTTGGGGTAGAAATACCGTGTTGGGAAGGGCATTTTTTCTTGCTCCTGTTTAAATTGCTTTTCACGGGCTAGGGAGACCTGGCCATCGATTTCAAGCCCAGTGAAGATTTCGGCTAACTTTTGGAGAAGGACAGCTTGGGTTTACCAGGGAGATTCAAATCTCTTTTCTCCTCTCACATCTTGAAAAGCCTTTAAACTTTTGTTGCCAAATCTCTGCCAGCACCCAGTCTGTTTAGAAGTGACTTCCCTGAGCAGGATGGCAGAAGGGCTGCTGGCTGATACGTTTTGTAGCTTCAGTCTTTAATGCAGTCATTCCTAGTCCACAGAAAGTCTCCTGTTTATATAAGAGAGAGAGATCATTTACAGACAGATTGCATTGAGTATACATTTCCCCCAGCATGCCTATTACTAAATAAAACTATTTCTGTATTATTAAACTGTTATTACTAATAATGCTTCATGTTATGGAAGTAGAAAGCATTGGAGATGAAATTAATTTTCGCCTGGGTGCCCCTCTGTTTGACTTTGTTCCATTTGGTGTAGGGCATAGATGTTGGCCAACTTTGCTTTAGCAAGTTCACTTTCTTTTTTTAAAAGATTATGTATTTTCATTTCATTTGAAAGAAAGGGGAGGGAAAGAAAGAGAGGGGACACACACACACACAGAGAGAGAGAGAGAGAGAGAGAGAGAGAGAGATATCTTTCATTCACTGTTTCACTACCTAAATGCCTGCACAGCTGGGGCTGGGCCAGGCTGAAGTCAGAAGCCTGGAATTCCATCCAGGTCTCTTGTGTAGGTGGCAGGGACCCAGATACTTGAACCATCACCTGCTACCTCCTAGGGTGTGCATTAACAAGATGTTGGATCAGAGTGGAGGAGATGGGGCTTGAACCAGGCATTCCGTTATGGGATGTAGGCATCCTAAGCAGAGACTTAACCATTGCATCACATGCCTGCCTCAGCAAGTTTGTTTTCTGGTTCCTCTTGTGAGGATTGAAGCTGTTGGAAGTGAGTTACTAGCGTATCAGCCGAAGTCCAATTTGAAATGCTGTTGTAGACTTCTGTTATTGGCTTCCAGAAGTCTCTTTTGAAAATGGAAACTCTGTTCTCCCTGGTGGGTGAGTTTTAGTGTACAATTTTCCTTTTTCAATTTTTTTGGGACCTGGTTTTATGGATTCTTCGTTCAGTAGAATTCCTGGGTTGGACTCAGTAATGTTTTTTTTGGGTGGTCTGTCAACACTTGGTTGGGAAACCAGATTACTATTTGTTACCTAGGACACCTGTCCATCAGGAGTTCTGCAAGTTCTCATCAGTGTGGTGTGGCTGACATTGTGGCATGGCCAGTGTGGTCAGCATGATTCCTGGAGGGGAGCTGGAACAGTCAGGTCACCCTGAACAGGGTGGGCCATCGGCCTGGGCTGAGCTGTTGTAAGTTTTGTCCCACTGTGCTACATCAGCTGGGTTGAGGAGGCATTTAAGCTGGTGTGACACAGATGCACATTTTCTAGGAAATTATTATTCTTGATCAATCTGGTGATCCTTGTCACCAACTTTGATTACATCAGCTTATGTGCCATTCAGTTTTATAGCATTTTAATGGGCTTTCACCCTCCCCTCCCAAATTTATTTCCAGCTGTGTGACTATTCTAATTTGATTATTTTTTTGATTTTGCAACTACCGGCACAGTTTCTGAGCATGCTATGCCTTCCTTGGGAGTACGAGGATCTTCAGGGGGTGAAAAAAACCAAAGCTTTCTTTTTTTCCAGATGCTTGTCAAAAAGTTGATTAGTTGTATTCTCCCAGAGTAAGATGTTTGCTTGGAACTCTTTGATAGAATCTGACCCATTGATTTTCTAAAAACAGTATAGAAAACTTCATTTAGAACTTTGCTTTCTAACAAGTAGTGGTGAAGATGGGGTAACTGGAAGCCTGGTGCACTGTGGGTGGGAATGTGAAATGAGATAGCCACTAAGGACAATCATATGAGTGGTTGCTTGACAGATTGAAAATGGGACTACCGTATGATCCAGCAATCCCACTCCTGGGTGTGTGCCCGAAATAATTAAAAGCAGGGACTTGAACAAGTACTTATATGCCCAGAGTCCATGGCACCATTATTCCCAATAGCTCAAACGTGGAAGCAACCATGGATAGAAGAATGAATAAGCAAAATGTGGTTTATACAGACAATGGAATATTATCTAACTTTAAAAAGTAAGGTGCTTAGATGAACTGAAATCAAAGGCAGGGAAAGTCGAGTGTTGTTTGCCAGGGTTGGGGAGAAGGTGGAATAAGGAGTTAGTGTTTAAGCGGTAGAGTTTCACTTGCACAATGAAGAGTTCTAGAGCTGGATGGTGGTGATGGTTGTGCAACCACGTGAAGGTACTTAATACCACTGAACTGTATACTTAGAAATGATTAAGATGATCAATTTTATGTCTGTTTTTAAAAAAGAATTGTAAAAGCCCAACTTGGCTTTCTTTATTATATTTTGGTTAAGAAAAACCAGATTTTTTTTTAATTTTTATTTTTTGACAGGCAGAGTGGACAGTGAGAGAGAGAGACAGAGAGAAAGGTCTTCCTTTGCCGTTGGTTCACCCTCCAATGGCCGCCGCGGCCGGTGCGCTGCGGCCGGCGCGCCGCGCTGATCCAATGGCAGGAGCCAGGAGCCAGGTGCTTTTCCTGGTCTCCCATGGGGTGCAGGGCCCAAGCACCTGGGCCATCCTCCACTGCACTCCCTGGCCACAGCAGAGAGCTGGCCTGGAAGAGGGGCAACCGGGACAGAATCCGGCGCCCCAACCGGGACTAGAACCCGGTGTGCCGGCGCCGCTAGGCGGAGGATTAGCCTAGTGAGCCGCGGCGCCGGCCGAAAAACCAGATTTTTAACCCAGAGATTTTCTCTCCTAGATTTTGACTTTCTCAAATCTACAATAGAGCCAAAAAGGACTCGCAATGCTGGTTCAGAATGAGCGACCTGATTCTCCTTTGCACCTCCAGTTCCTGTGTCTCCTCCCCTTCTCACCTCCCTCCCCTCCCCAAGAAGTTCAAATTTACCTGGCAGATGTTATTTTTTTAAAAAATTTATTAATTTCACACCTTTCTTTTTTTTAAAAAAAAGATTTTATTTACTAATTTGAGAGAGAGATTTACAGGCAGAGAGAGGGAGAGAGAGAGAGGTCTTCCATCTGCTGGTTCACTCCCCAGATGGCCTCAACAGCCAGAGCTGTGCTGATCTAAAGCCAGGAGCCAGGTGCTTCTTCCTTGCCTCCCATGTAGGTGCAGGGGCCCAAGGACTTGGGGCATCTTCTACTGCTTTTCCAGGCCATAGCAGAGAGCCGGCTGGGAAGTGAAGCAGCTGTGCCTCAAACTGGCACCTATATGGGATGCTGATGGCACAGGCAAAGGCTTAGCCTACAAGCCACAGCACTGGAAGTTATGTTATTATATTTCTATTTCCTTAAGCCATTTATTACCCTCCACCACGTGCCTCTGCTTTATTTATTAGGCATTTGATCTCGTTGATTATTTTTGTGCTTTACATTAGATTAGTTAAGTCAATGGCATGTTTTTGGTCTTCAAAAGGACACCTTCTTAACATTAGCATCACCGTATGTCTGTGGATCCCAGAGACTTGAAAATGTAGAATTTCCTGGGCTTAATCAGATCCACACTCCAGCAAAACAGGTCTCGCTACTTGTGTTTTAAACTCCCAAGAGTTGAATGATTCTGAGCTCAACTATTATTTTGAATGCTGCTTTTGTTTGCTTCCCATCAGAGAAAGTCATTTTTCTTGAAGGATGTGGTTTCAAAGTGTGGGTGTCTGTCCCTGTCTGCCCCGGTTCCCCTGTGAATCGCTCTGCGTTGCGGCGAGTTGCAGCCTCTGGTCAGAGTGTTTCTCTCCCGCAGTGGCAGGAATCCGGGTAGCTTGGCTGGGAGCTTGGGTTCCTCTGGAGCGTCTGCCTGTGACTGCAGAGCACAGGGCGTGGGTCACGACGGCTGGGAGGGGGATTCTAGAAGCAGACCCCACGCGGCATGTTGTTCCGGAGAGAGGCCACATGCTTTCTACGGCGCGGCCTCGTCACTGTTCCTGGTGGCTCATTCGCTGCGCTCCAGGCTGTCTGTTGATGGAGCTTCGGGTTGCCGGTGGGTTTGGGGTTGGAAATAGAACCTGGCGGAGGCGCTCCTGGCACTGCGCTCCGTGCGCTTCGTCTTGATCCTCATAACCGCACAGATTCTTCCCGGGAGATGGATGCGGGGGCGTCGGGTTGCCTCTGGGGCTGTTTCGGGTTCCCCCGGCCTCATGCCTTCCGTCCCTGTCTCCCGCAGGCTCGGGGACCAGTTCTACAAGGAAGCCATCGAGCACTGCCGGAGCTACAACTCGCGCCTGTGCGCGGAGCGCAGCGTGCGCCTCCCCTTCCTGGACTCGCAGACCGGGGTGGCCCAGAACAACTGCTACATCTGGATGGAGAAACGGCACCGAGGGCCAGGTGAGCCGCGCCGCCCCTGGGTGTGCGGCCGCCTGGCTGGAGCCGGGAGGACAGGGCTGGGGAACCCACCAGGTGGGATGGGGGCTGCACGTGTTCCTGGCGCGGGTTCCAAGGAATGTCACTAGGCCTGGGTGGGACACCGAATTCCGGAGGCATCCTGCGTATGTGTCCCCAAGAGAAGGCCAGGCCCGTGGAGAGCAGCCCTCCCCTGTCGCTCTGTGGTGTGGGTCCCAGGCTGGAAATCTGCACGCAGATCTGGGTGAGAGGCCTTGTCACCAGACCTCTGCCCCTCAGCCTCCTTATGTAGGAATGTGGGTGAGAACTGCTTCACTGCTTAGGATTTTCTCCAGATTAAATGGAAATATCCACGACAGACTCCTCATGTAGTAAGTGTGTGCTGGGAAAAGTGCCGGACTGTTGTTGCTAATAATAATAATAATAATGATAATGATAATGACATTGACATAATAATAATATAATAATGAAATTGATATAATAATGATAATGATATTATTATTATTATTACCAGGAGGAGACTTAACGTTTTTGTGGGAAATAGTGTTAAAAGATGATTTTGGTGGGAAGAAGTTTGAATTCCATGCATATTTTTTTCATAATGCACATTTCCCATGAACACTTGCACTTTGACACTAGTTTTTTAGGCTCCAAAGATCTAAGGTGGATAGGGATTAGGAATGCAACTACCCAAATGCAGTGTTCTTCCTCTGTATGGAGATACATATATAAATAGATAGATAATTTTATTTGAAACACTTCATTCTATTTTTGAAATTATTTGAGAGGCAGCAAGAGACACACATACAGAGAGAGAGAGAGAGAGAGAGAGAAAGAGGGAGAGAGAGAGTGCCAGCCCATTTGCTGGTTCACTCCCCAAGTACCCAGGAGCTGGGAACTCAGTCCAGGTCTCTCACATGGTGGCAGGAACCCAACTACTTGAGCCATCACCAGTGGCCTCCCAGGGTCTGCATTAGCAGGAAGCTGGAATCTGGAGTGAAGCTGCGACTGCAGTATGGGATGCAGACATCCCAACCAGTAACCTTAATTGCTGTGCCAAAAAGGTTTTATTTTGAAAAATTGCAAGCACATATAAAGCCAGAAAGAATAGAAAAATGTTGTCTGCACACATCCCACCCTCAACAATGACCGACTTATGGCCAATCTTGTTACATTTATCCTCACCGCCAGCTTTTCCTCCATGTCCCCAGATTATTTTGCAGCAAATCCAAGACAATGTAATATTTCATCTGGAGATGTTGCATCTGTATCTCTAAATGGTCAGAATTTAGAACAAAAACAGAAACTCTCCAGCAATCGTTATCAGAACTCAAAGAATTAACAATAAGACTAACAACATCAAGTATTTGGTCAACATTCCTTTTGTCCCTGAAGTTTCAATCAGGATCCAAGCAAGGTCCTTACTTTGAAATTGGCTGACATGTCTCTTAAGTCTCTTAAAATTGGTAGTCTTCTCTGTGTGCCTCTGTCTCTCTTTTCTTCTTGCATGGTATTTATTGAAATAAACTAGGTTGTTCGCACCGTAGGGTTTCTCAGAATCTGGAATCGCTGATTGCATCCCCATGGTGTTATTCGTGTGGATTGGTCTAGAGACTTATTCAGGTTCAGTGTTTTTTTTTTTTGTTTGTTTTTTTGCATGAATAATGCCTAAGTGGTGATGTGTAGTTTCATCAGGAAGCTTGTACCATCTCCTTTTTTTTTTTTTTTTAAGATTTATTTTATTGGCCGGCGCCGCGGCTCACTAGGCTAATCCTCCGCCTTGCGGCGCTGGCACACCGGGTTCTAGTCCCGGTCGGGGCGCCGGATTCTGTCCCGGTTGCCCCTCTTCCAGGCTAGCTCTCTGCTGTGGCCAGGGAGTGCAGTGGAGGATGGCCCAAGTGCTTGGGCCCTGCACCCCATGGGAGACCAGGAGAAGCACCTGGCTCCTGCCATCGGATCAGCGCGGTGCGCCGGCTGCGGCGGCCGTTGGAGGGTGAACCAATGGCAAAGGAAGACCTTTCTCTCTGTCTCTCTCTCTCACTGTCCACTCTGCCTGTCAAAAATAAAAAATTAAAAAAAAATATTTATTTTATTTATTTGAAAAACAGAGTTACAGAGAGAAGTCTGTAGAGACAGTAAGAGGGGTCTTCCATCCACTGGTTCACTCCTTATATGGCCACAACGGCCAGAGCTGCAGCGATCCGAAGCCAGGAGCCAGGAGCTTCTTTCAGCTCTCCCATGTGGGTGCAGGGGCCCAAGGATTTGGGCCATCTTTTACTGCTTTCCCAGGCCATAGCAGAGAGCTGGATTGGAAGAGGAGTAGCCAGGACTAGAACCAGTGGCCATATGGGATGCTGGCGCTTCAGACCAGGGCGTTCACCTGCTGCACCACAGCACTGGCCCCTTGTACGGACTTCTTTCCTCTCCTTTACCTGAGTCAGCAGCCCTTGGTGATTATCTAGACTCTTTACTCCATTTCGGGCTGCAAACGGGTGACATTCGCTTTGAGGCTTTCATTGCTTTTCCATTTATTAGCTCCTCAGCTCCTACAAAGAAAAACATCCCCTCATTAAAATTTTGGTTATTGGGAGGTGCAGTTCACAGATGAAAGGCAGGAAGAGTGATTTTTCCCCTCCTTTATTTGACAATTTTCAAAATAATGAATTTGTCTAGTAGTTTCCAAAAGTGGCTAATAAAGTTATTAGTTTTTTTTTAGTTTTTTTTTTTTTTGACAGGCAGAGTGGACAGTGAGAGAGAGAGACAGAGAGAAAGGTCTTCCTTTGCCGTTGGTTCACCCTCCAATGGCCGCCACAGCTGGCGCGCTGCAGCCGGCGCATCGCGCTGATCCGATGGCAGGAGCCAGGTGCTTCTCCTGGTCTCCCATGGGGTGCAGGGACCCAAGCACTTGGGCCATCCTCCACTGCCCTCCCGGGCCACAGCAGAGAGCTGGCCTGGAAGAGGGGCAACCAGGACAGAATCTGGCGCGCCGACCGGGACTAGAACCCGGTGTGCCGGCGCCGCAAGGTGGAGGATTAGCCTAGTGAGCCGCGGCGCCGGCCAAAGTTACTAGTTTTTGAGTGTCATCAGGAACTCACAGATTTAAACATACTTGATGTATTTTTAATCCACAGAAACTGTGATTCCTACTGATGCTTAAATTGTCCCATCTTTGACAAAAGGGGGTTTTGGCCAGGCTGGTGTTGGGAAGCAACCTCGGTAGTTTCTGAAAGCCCCCTTGCTATGTGCATGTTAGGACGAGATGTTTCGGGCTCACCTTGTGCACCTCTGCCTCAGACCCAAGTCAGCCGTTTCTCTAAGGCGCTGGTTCTTTTGTGTAGGAAATGTTATTTGGAGACCATAAGCTGGTGGTGTTTGTTGCTTCTGGGTTGGTCATTATTTCTGGACCTTTTCAGAGAGAACTTAAAAAAAATATGATTTGTTTTTCTTTTAAGAGAAACTATATTTTGAAATCATACTAATATTTCCAATTGAATTCAATTAAGTATTCAGTTTTTACTTAATTTTCTGAATTTTCTATCTTCTCCTAAAAAATCCCGGATATGAATGATTCAGCATTGCTTACTTGCTTTATTCCATCACACACACACACACACACACACACACACACACACACTCACACACTCACACACGCTGTGTCAGAATAACAGATTACTGAAAACAGTTTAAAGTTTTTTTCTTTCTTTTTTGGGGGGCAATTCTTTCTGTGTGTAGGGTATATATGGTTAAGGATTCAGAAACAAATTACTCTGCTTTAACTCACTTCAAATAGTTCCTTCATGCAGCTGTGCTGCCAACTCAATGCACAGTGGGGTTTACTTGTTTCTTTCCCATTTGCTTTGGGTAGGGGTTGGGGAGGATTCCATAAATTTCTTCCTTTTTAAATTAGCTTTTTATTTTGAAAGCACAGCACAGAGAGACCCCAGGCTCTTCACCCTGTTTCCCCCAACATGGACACATCTCAGGAGACCAAAATCAGAAAGCTGACTCTGGTGAAATGTGTGCACGTAGCTCCATGCCAGTTTATCGCATGCGTAAGATTTGCGTAACCACCACCACCACCACCACAATCAAAATGCAAAATAATTCTGTGGCCACAGAGATCTCCCATGGACTCCTCTCCCTCTCGTCATCACATCCCATTAGCCTGCTGCGTTTATAACACAGCCGTCCCACACGTTTCCTCCACATACGTTCAAAGCCACATCAGTGTTGTGATTGTTGCTTTAAGCATCGAAGATAATCTAGAGAATATAGGAGAAATGTTTATTTACTGTTATTTTATATTTCTGTAACTTTTATATATTTCCTTACAGTTGTATTTACTTATTTTTTAACATATTTTTGCTCCTTCATTGTTCTTCCTTCCAGATGTGCCGAGTTTCCTTGTTATCATTTTCTTTCTTTTTTTTCTTTTTCTTTTTGACAGGCAGAGTGGACAGTGAGAGAGAGAGAAAGAGAGAAAGGTCTTCCTTTGCCGTTGGTTCACCCTCCAATGGCCGGCGTACCGCGCTGATCTGAAGGCAGGAGCCAGGTGCTTCTTCTGGTCTCCCATGGGGTGCAGGGCCCAAGCACCTGGGCCATCCTCCACTGCACTCCCTGGCCACAGCAGAGAGCTGGCCTGGAAGAGGGGCAACCGGGACAGAATCCGGTGCCCCAACCGGGACTAGAACCCGGTGTGCTGGCGCTGCAAGACAGAGGATTAGCCTAGTGAGCCGCAGCGCTGGCCCGTTCCCTTTCTGATGCAGCGCTTTGTGTGGCTGTTCTTTGAGAGTAGGCTTTCTGTGACGACCTCTCTTACTTTTCCTTCTTCTGAGAATGTCTTAATTTTTTTCCTTGATTTCTGAAGGATTTTTTTTCCTGGATATAAAATTCTAGGTTGACAGTTTATTTTTGTATAATTTTAATTTATTTGAAAGGCAGAGAGAGAGAGAAGAGCAGAGAGAGAGAGAGCGAAAGAGAGATCT